TTGGTTGGGGCGGGCCGCCCCGGCACGATGCGGCAGGCGCATGCAATCTTTCCATTGCCGTCACGGGCGGGCGCGCGATGCCGCTCTTTTTCGGCCGCTGTTTTCCCGCTTGGTCATCGTTATCGCGTCGTTCAGCTGATCCTGGAGAGGCCGTTCGTGCCCGTCGGACCGGTCGGAACCGGCCGGCCGCGGTGACGCCTTTGTTATGGACGCGGTGGTGGCAGCAGAGGGAGGGTGGGAGGGGAAGGGTGACGTCAGAGGGCAGGGCGGGCTTCCGCAGCGGCCGCCCACACTCCGTTTATGGACGGTCAGAGTGACCGGCACATAACTAAGGGTTGTAGAGTAGCCAGCGGCTGCGGCCTCGTCGCTCGCCCTTAAATGGGGCTCCCTGATGCCGGGGCCAGCTAATGGGTGCGACGTTGTCTTGCTGCGTCGCAACTGCGTTACGGATTGGCGATCTCCAAATCTCGCCGTCATTAGACAGTCCCACGTCTCGCAAATACCTGACTAATGTAAGTCATTTTGACTCCGGCCCAGATCCATTGACTCACGTCACCCTGTCAAATCATTTCATTTGTATCTGATTCTCATTAACATTTTTTGTTTCCCTTCTTCTCCGGGGCTGTGGCTCACCATCTCGCCGAATCATCGTGACCGCTCGCGATTGGCCACGATGCCGTCACCTCCGCCGCCCCCCATTGGTCGTCGGCCCTGTCTCCTCCGCTCGTCTCGTCCCACGCGCGCCAGCGGGAGGCGCCTCGCGTGGGCTGGCCGACAGCGCCTCCCGGCCGCCGGCCGACGCTCTGGCGTGCTTCGTCGGCGACCTCCCGCCACCGCCGCCGCCGCCGCCGCCGCCGCCGCCGCCGCCGCCCGCCGCCGCCGCCGCCGCCTCCGCCGCCGCCGCCGCCGCCGGGGCGCGCAGCCGCCGAGCTCGGGGACTGGTGGGCGGGTGACGGCCTTGCCGCACCCGCTGCCGGGCTGGCGCCGCGTCATCCCCCCTCCCCAGTTTCGGCCGTCGCGGTTGTGCGTGCCTATCGATAGCGCACCTGCTGGCGTTTGCCGCCAGGTTTACTCGGCTACGGGACTGGTGCTCATGACTTTTGCAAGCTGCGGTGCAGCGGCGTGTGAGGAACTGTGGGGATAAGCGCGTTTTCGGGTGGATGGATGTCGTACGTTGTTGGGGATGGCGTACGTCGTGGGGATGCAGATCCCGAGCCCCATCGCTGCACCAGCACGACTTGGGGAGAGGCATGTGAGCAGCTGTGCGGCAAACCTGTCAGTACTCGGAGGGTGTCACGCTCACGCACGCGCAGCCTTCGTGGCGGGGTTTCCTAGCAAAGTTTGCCGATCGATCTTACTAGCTTGCTATATTACATTAACGCAAACAACAAAGTGTCACACAGTTCTGTTATTATTATTCCATTGAAGCTGACTGGCGTCCGTTGCTTCCCTTGGCGTTAGACAGTGGCCAATACTACAGGGAATGTACATGTGGGGTGGCAAGCCAGGAAAGATATGCAAGTCCCTTGGGCACAGTGCGCAGTGCTTAGAAATGCTGCTATGCCAAGACTGCCAGAACGAATACCTTTCAGCCCAAAATAGCTCAATGAAAGCACTATCGGCGCATGTTTTGGCTAATCATGGATAAACGCTTCTCTTTCTTCCCGTATGAGTAACGATGTAATTCGCACCTTTCACGAACCGCTTAGAACGACAACAGACCAATCTGACAACGGTTTGCTCCACAAAGTGTGTCACTCCAACGATCCATTCGGCGATAAGCTATGTCTTTATTATGCCGTTGAAATCCACACTGACGCAACCGATCCTCATTCTGACATTGCCCGCTCTCGACATTCCACCGCCACCTGGCCGCTGGGCGAGCGCGAGGGGCCGCCACGTCCGCCTCATACCTCTGCCGCGAGCCTTGACAGTGGCAGGCGGGCGGCGCTGGCGTCCCCGCCCCCTGCGGGCGGCACATGTCCGCTCGAGGTGCGCTGGGGACGGCGGGCGCCGGCGCCGCCAGGGCCGCCGCCGGCCGCAGCCCGTTTAGGGGGCAGTGGGTCGGCTGGTGGCCGGCCGACGGCCGACGGTGACGGACCGTCACCAGCCGGCCGCTTGTTGTGCCGGCTGGTGACGGCCGGGCGCCGCGTGACGTCACAGCTGCCGCCGGCCAGCGGGCTGAGGAGAGGGCGCCACCGGCGGCCGTCGCCGCGCGGCCCGCGGACGCGGTCGCCCGCGGTGGCGCCGCTGCTTGGTGAACGGTGCCAACGTGATGCTGCTGTTTCTGCCGCTCGGATTTGGCATCAGCGTCGCGGTGTTTGCTGTTGTACGCTGGTTAGAAACGTCATGATGCACGTCCAAAACGCTGGGCCGGTTTCCCCCCCCCCCCCCTCCGGCGCGGAACGGTGCAATCTTTCCCAAAAATAAACGTAGTGATTCAACAGTACTTTTAGGTAGTACATCAGTACTGTGCTCTATCCGTGCTGTTGGACTTGAACAGCATTTGCAAGGCTCTGCTCTTATGCTATGGGCCTCCAGCGTCAAATTTCGACCTTTGCTCTTCTTTCCATCGGTCGACAAATATGATCTCGTTCCTACCGTTCAAATATAAAATTGCGAGCTGGGGCCCGAGAACTATGCAAAGTAACATCACGCCCTTGATGTGGAGACCTCTCAGTCGTCTCGAGGTGTTGCGTAATGACGACGATTTGAGAGCACGCATCCTTCACGGGCCGCATTGGGTTGCTCATAAATCATTGGTTGCCGGGCGCATTTGGCCAACGCTGAGTGAGCGAGGTGCGCCCAGACGGCGCGGTGTTGATACAGGCCTGCGGAACCCCCTCCCCGTCTAGCGCCGTGTGCGGAGATGATGACGCGATGACGTGTCTGGAAATGATGTTGACACCTGGCCGGAGCGCTGACGTGCGTGATTCGGTCGGATCTAATGAGCGGTGGTCTGCACGTGCCGGCGGTGGGCCGGCAGGAGCTCTGGTGCAGCTATGAACTTAGCGGCGTGATGCTGGGTGCGTGACGCCACAGCCTAAAGCATTGGTTGTGGCAACCGTCTAACATGAATGTTCATACCCTCTAAGGCGGCAAGTCATGGTCTTCTAATGTCACATATCAAGGCTTATGAACTGAAAGCGTAATACTACTAAACATGCAGTGAGGCACGGATGATAGCCGTCTTTCTTTGATTTTACGGCATGCATTCCATAGACCGATATGCCCGCAATGAAGGTGTTGTTTTCCACCATTCGTCTCCACCTGTCCCAGCCTGACTAGTTCAGACCGCCGTATCTGGGCCACCATCGAACCGAAGCCAACACCCGATCTGTCCACACCTACACGCCGGCGTGAACCGTGCCCCGCCGGCGTGCTGCCCGGCTCTCCGCCGCCCACGTGCGATGGGGCGGCCGCCCTGCGTGGGCCATGCGGGCGCCGGTGAGAGGTGTTGTGGTGCGGTGGAGGTCGACCAGTGGGAGGTGTTGTTGTGGTGATTCTGGTGAGATTTCGTGTTAGCGTTGGCAGGTGCCGTTGGAACAGCCTGCATGTGTGATATGACCGCATACGATTAGGCGGGGTCCGAATCGTGATGAATCGGTATTTTGCGTTCGGTGCGTATTTTCTGTGTGATCTGTCTTGTGTTTCCCGGACATCAGTGTTTGGTGGACGAGTGGGCCATGGTATTCGCCATGGGTCCCGTCCGACGTCTGAACGTCTCCTCACTCGCCGTCGTGAGTGTTGGCAGCCGTCTGACCGCGTCCTTACTGTGTCCTAACTCTGTCTGTCCCGGCAGACGTCTGACCGTCTCCTCACTCGCCCGCCGTGAGTGTTGGCAGCCGTCTGAACCGCGTCCTAACTCTGTCTGTCCCGGCAGACGTCTGACCGTCTCCTCACTCGCCGCCGTGAGTGTTGGCAGCCGTCTGACCGCGTCCTAACTGTGTCCTAACTCTGTCTGTCCCGGCGGACGTCTGACCGTCTCCTCACTCGCCGTCGTGAGTGTTGGCAGCCGTCTGACCGCGTCCTTACTGTGTCCTAACTCTGTCTGTCCCGGCAGACGTCTGACCGTCTCCTCACTCGCCGCCGTGAGTGTTGGCAGCCGTCTGACCGCGTCCTAACTGTGTCCGCCCGGCGTGTCCCGGCAGACGTTGATACGCCCGAGCCGGACGAGAAGTCGCTCATCACGTACGTCAGCTCCCTTTACGACATCTTCCCCGAGCCGCCGGCCGAGCACCCGCTGTACGACGCCGTGAGTAGGGACCGCACGGACGGCGTGAGTACACCCGGCTCGCAAGAGCGCGCGGCCGCCGACAGAAACGACCCGTCCCGCCCCACCCACCTCCGCCGTCAGGACGCCACCGCATACTGCCAGACTCCGCACACGGCAGCGGGCACCGCCAACCTCCCCTCACCCACCACAGCGCCGTCAGAACACCGGACGATCACAGCTGCGGTCTTGCCGTCGGTGCAGACCCGCCAGGTGGCGCCCCACAGTCGGACGAATCAGGGCGTGGCGTGCAGCACGCGCTGGAACACGATTGAGGACTTCCCGCCGGTGGCGAGCGACCGCACCGTGCGACCTACGGCCGTCACGTGCCGGGCCGCGTGCTGCCGTGCGCCCGCCGCACGCAGCAGCGGCTCCGCTCTGTGATGAAGGCGAAGGGGACGGGGCACGGGGTCACGTGACGTCCGGTCCCACACTGTCGGGTGGAGAACAGGCGGTCCCGGAACTGGTCCGCCGGCTCAGACAAACCGGGCGACTCAGCGCGCTCTTTGCGTTTCGGCACAGCCCGCAGCAAGCAGATGCGCAGGCTGGCGGTACCGTAAGGGATGGGGAGAAGCATGCTTACGCCCATTTGTATTCAAATGCACCATGCATGTATGCACAGCAGTCTGCATGAACATCTAGCGAGCTGTTGCCGGCCCCACTGGCTGCACGCGGCCACTGGAGGAGGCGTCAGCTCGTCGGGATTGACGATTCATGATCCTTAGTCCTTGATCCAATGCACGTGCCATATGGTCTCGACATACTCTCTTTGGAGGTTTCCTTCACAGCATGCCTCAACCTCCCTTCCGACTCGTTTCTGTCGACTGCCGTTTTTCTACTTCTTTAGTTTAAGGTACCAGGCATATATGCCGTTATCTTGATGGACATAGCTGTAATACAGCTCATTTTTTAGTTGTATTTATTAATAGTACATAGAAGAACCGTAACGGATGCATGCCATTTCACTGGTCATGGGTGTCTCGTTTGCAGGCAACCGAACTTGTACATGTAGTTTTTGTCAGCAAAATGCCTGGGCATGCCGCCAAACGCGTGGTGCACGTCGAAAATTGGTGTAAACGAGTTTGGTCGCGGAGGTCGCATGTGGTTCGGCACCTGGCATTTTGCCGCTGCTGCTGGTGCCCTGTATCACTGTCGCTGCAACGCTCCCGGTCAAATGATGGCAATCGCTAGAAGCATGCCCCTCGCGACATGCGCTCGGTGGGCTCCGGCACGCGGGCCTGCCCTGCCCCCCCCCCCCCCCCCCCCCCCTCTCGTCTGTGGCCGTGCTGCACGCCGCCTGCCCATCCCCTGCGCTGTCCGGTGCTGACGGCGCGTGCGCCGGTTGCAGGCGGCGCAGGCGGCGCTGGGCGAGTACAAGGACAGCGCCTCGCGGCTGCACCAATGGGTGCGTCAGCAGACGTCGCGCATGCAGGAGCGCAGCCTGCCGCCGTCGCTGCCCGAGCTGCGCGACCTTCACGCACAGAGCAAGGCGTTCAAGACGCACGAGATGCCGCCCAAACAGCAGGAGATGGGGCGCCTGCTCCGGTTGTACCAGGACCTGGAGGTGAGATGCGGTGGCGCACCAGGGTCAGAAGTGCGAATGGTCATGTGGCTGGGAGGTGCATGAGGTCCATGACACTGCTGGGCCGGCCAGGAATATGGCAGCGGCGATCTGCTGCGGATCCTGTTTTCACCTGCATGGTGTAATGGCTGAGGAGGGTTTGCGACGCTCCAAAAACAGTATCGTCGCATACAGAACATTTGATCTATGCTCTTCGTATTTGATGGTATCATCTTCGGACCCAGTGCAGCAATCAAAATAAAAAGTACTGCATCGCCCGTACCCCGCGCAGCAAGCAAAAGGATCAACGCCTTTCATTGATGTCCAGCGCATGCTTCGCCGTTGACATTGTCGTAGTTTGTGCAATTGCATTGCACAACAGTAGCGGTCACACGGTTCTGAATGGACTGCGCGCCTGAAGACCGGCCGCTCTTGGCCTCTGTTGCGGCGGTGACCGCGGCGCGAGGCCGTCTCTCCCTTCACGGCTCTGACATCGCCTCGCCATCGGCAGCGCTCACACCACGACCTGGGCAAGATGGACCTGCCGCCCGAGCTGCATATCTCGCTGCTGGACCGCAACTGGGGCATCATGATGAAGACCTACCAGGAGCGCCACCAGCAGATCGAAGACGAGCTAAGCCGCATGGAGCGGCTCCAGCGGCTTGCTGACAAGGTCAGCGCCTGCGCACCGCCGGGTCACGTGACAGGGAACGAGGGCGAAGGGCCGCCTGCATAAATCTGTCCACAGCCACAGACTGAATTTAATGTGGCCGATTGGCTTAAGAGCTTGGGTACTCTTTCCGGAAGGTCACTGCGCGGTCAGCATAAAGTTGCATGTAACAGAACCGCGAAGACGTTCGGTGTTTTCATGTCAACCAAACTGATGTGGATTGTGCAATTTTATGCTGGATGTTCACAGGGGTTGCCCAGTGGTTGATGATCCGGCCAGGCACACCCTTTCTTATCATTAGGCGCAGAGGTCAGGCAACCTGTTCCCAGTCGGGCTTGCAGGCTGAGCTGCTGAAATTTAAGGGATTGGCATTGAATTTCGACAGGTAGTCGGTCAACTTCATGGACATTAACTGGGATGCACATGCTTCGAGTTGTCGTATGAGGCTGTCCTTTCCAGCTATTCCCGAGACTCCACATGTGAGTCAATGTATCAGTTATTACCCTCACGTTGGTGAGCGAAGGGGCCAGACGTTTTCCTACGTGGGCAAGGGCTCTGTGCCGGCGGCCAGCGCAGGAAGACAGAACCTGCAGGCGGCCGGTGGCCGCTCGCCCACCCCTCGCATGTGACCGATGCCCCGTTTGTCACAGATCCAGCGCGATATCCGAGCGACCGACCGACGGCTGAACGACGTGCAGCAGACCATCCGCGACGAGGCCAAGCGACTGCCCAAGATGAAGCCCAAGGACGCCAAGATGCACGTCGAAAAGGTGACGATCTCTGCAGCGCGCTTTGCGCCTTCCTCGATCGTAGATCCCGAAATGGTGTGCTGGCAGTTAAGACAATTTGTGTTGATTGTTAGCAGTGTTTGCGGTCACGAGTCGGCGGTTGAGTGAGTGAGCGAGACATCGTCTCGGGTCGAGAATCCCTGTCATTTGTCAGTTATTCTTTGTAGTATTTGCGTCGCTCTCAACCAAATCCTGCCAACGTTGTGGCTCAACTTCTGTTGATGTGATTGGAGCCTTGGCAGCTTAACATAACCGTGCCAGCTTGGCTCGACCACTGGTGGCGTGGTTCGACCACTGGTGGCGTGGGTCGACCACTGGCAGTGGGGCTCGACTATTGGCGGCGTGGCTTTCACTGGACCGCTGGCGTCATGACCGGACCACTGGCGGCGTAGCTCGACCACTGTCGGTGTGATCTGAGTGCTGTCGCTGTAATCTGAATCCTGGCGGTGTGATCTGACTCCTGGCGGTGTGATCTGACTCCTGGCGGTGTGATCGATCTGACTCCTGGCGGTGTAATCTGACTCCCGACGGTGTGATCTGAATCCTGGTGGTGTAATTAATCTGACTCCTGACGGTATAATCTGAATCCTGGCGGTGTAATCTGACTCCTGGCGGTGTGATCTGACCGCTGGCGGTGTAATCTAACCCCTGACGGTGCCGCCAGATCGACCTGGAGCTGGCACAGATCGAGGAGACGATCAAGGGACTCTTCTCGGACGTTAACTCGCTGCAGGAGGGCCGCCACCCGCAGGCGCCAGAGCTGTACCATAACGTGCAGCAGCTGCATAACAAGTGGATGAACGTGCACACCAGCATGCAGGTACTATCCGCTATTAAACGGCCTGGCTAACCACGATCATTGGCGGTGCAGTGTTTACCTTGTGTTGCGGCGTAAGCTTTTGATTATTGTCGAAAACATGTATAAGGTTTTTCTGCCGATATAATTTGATGCATATTCCTACCAAGAAAAGGGTGCTTCGGTTTTAGGTGCATAATGAAGCACATGGAGCTTAAGCTAAATGGTGGCTCCTTCTCCAAATATATGAAAGGTATCGCCTTCGAAAGTCTCCCTAATCCGGATATGTTTCTTGTGATCCCTTTGGCGTTCGGGCAACCGCTGAGCAGGACGCAACCTACCTCACTCTTTGGCTCGCAGGACACCCTGATCGGGCCGCTCAGTAAGCGGATGAATGAGGACCCAGACGCCATGTTCGCGCGGTTGATCAAGACCGACGAGAACTTCCGCTTCTTGCACGAGTGTCTGGAGTGGGTTCGCGAGAAGCTGGTAAGGACGCGGCTGCGACCAGGCTCACCTCAGCCGTGTACTACGGCGCTGAAGCACAAACTGTACGAGGCAGCCCGGGAGCCTGAGAGTTACGCTCCGCTAAAAGCGCACCGCAATCTATGTTGGTATGATGTGCTAATCATCGTGCGCGTTGCTCAGGGCGAAGGCTTGTCCACGTTGTATGTGAGGTGGCTATTTTTGAAAATGTCGTCAAATGAACGTGCACACCAGCATGCGGGTACTATCCGCCGTTTAACAGCCTTGCTCTTCACGGCCATTGGCGGCGCAGTGTGTACCTTGTGTTTGGGACAATTGAATAGATTCAGTTACACTCGTCTTGCCCTGTCATTCGGAATAATTACCAAAGCACTCTACACTTCGCCAGGGTCAGCTTCAAGAGGCCGAGTACGGACACGACCTCCACTCGTGCCAGGAGGAGCTGGAATCCCACCACAAACAGCACAAGGTCATCGACCAGTTCCAGGTATGTTCGTGTGGAGGCTACTGGTCAGTTCCAGGGGCTTGCATCCACAGAAACGAATCCAACTCGCGCAGGTGGATGGCAACAGGAGTAGTGTTCCTGCACGTTCCGGGATCACGATAAGCGTGTTCCTGCTTGGCTCGAGTTGACAAAGCATTACAGCTCGGTGGAGGTGTCGGCGACAGGCCAGCCGGCCTTGGTCACCTGAGATGTGTGGTCTGTGATTGGTATATTTTACACGCATTCCCCCGGCTGTTTCGCACCATACCAGCACATGTTAGCTCTGACCCTCCGGATGTCGCCTCTCAGCTGTGTAACGATTAGCGCGATCGGCTCTGACCTGACCCCGCTATCACCGCCAGGTGAACCTGGACCGCTGCGTGGCCGCCAAGAACAACTACGACCATGATGAGCTGGCGCTGTACATGCGTGTGCTGAGCCAGCTGCAGAAGACGTACGCCGACCTGCTGTCCACCTCCAACAAGCGGCTCTCCGACCTGATGATCCTGCACGACTTCATCCAGGGCGCCACCAACGAGCTCATCTGGTTGAACGAGAAGGAGGAGGCCGAGGTCAACCGCGACTGGAGCAACCGCAACCAGGACCTGCGCCAGCTGGACGCGCACTATGAGGTCAGCGACGCACTGGAAGGCGGAGAGGGGAAATCCGTCTTCCTTGCCGTGTGATGTTGGTCGTTGTTGTGAAAAGTATGGAGGAATACATGAAATACGGGACAGGTCCAATATTCCGAACGAGGCGGTAACTGTGTATTCAGCAATATTTCATTTAGCTTCTTAAGCTTGCTTGATTTCCCGAAGTCCGCAGCGTGTTTTGTTTGAGATCGAGAGATGGCTAATCTCCGTCCTCATCGTGAAGCTGCTGCGGCTGACGCGCGCCGCCGCTGTTGCAGCACGTGATGAGCGAGCTGGAGCGGCGCGAGCGACAGTTCAACGCCATCCAGGAGCAGGGCGGCTCGCTGGTGGCGCAGCACCACCCGGCCTCCAAGACGGTGGAGGCTTACCTGGCTGCCATGCAGACCCAGTGGTCCTGGCTGCTCCAGCTCACACTCTGCCTCGAGACGCACCTCAAGCACGCACAGACCGCGCACAAGCTCTTCCAGGACGTGGACGAAATGGCGCACGTTATTAGGGAGTGAGTCGCGCTGTGGGGTGAATGGGTCGTGCTGTGTTTTCCTCGTAAAAAGTGAAGTGAAAAAGTTTGGCGTTGTTGCCTTAAACTTCGAGCACATTTTAGCCGGAAAGTGCTGACTGAGCCTTGTGTGAGCAGCCAAGCAATGTGCCTCAGTCAAGCTATATGCATCTACTTGTCGGGCTATGTCTAATTTCGATTGAATCCTGAATTTTTCGTTTAACCCATCGCTATCACCCGCTGGCTCACATCACATGAAACACCGGTGTGCTCACTCTTCCACGGGCCCCGCGTCAGCCGTCTAACCTCCGCGTCCGCCTCACAGACAGGACGAGCGCCTCAACACGGAGTTCAGCCAGACGGACTTCACGCTGGACGAGGGCGAGCAGCTGCTGCGCGACATGCAGGAGCTGCGTGACCAGATGAGCGGCCAGGCGGAGGTCATCGACGAGCTGGAGCGGCGCGCGCACCTGGTGACGCCGCAGCGCCAGCGCCGCGAGCGCCTCGACGGCCCGCTGCCGGTCACCAGTATCTGCCAATACAAGAACGCCAACGTGAGTGCCGACCGCGCGCTGGCGGGGCACGGACCTGTGAGGGTGGGCCGCTCTGGCCTGAGAGGGGTGCGTGGAGGTTGGTGGGGTGAGGGTGGATCTGCCGTGGAGAAAGATTCGGTTTCGATGCCTGGCTTTACCCGCTCTGTGGTGTCTCTTTTCTCCTGCTACTCGGTCGTGTCACCCACTCGTCCCTGCGCGCAGATGACGATCCAGAAGCAGGAGAAGTGCACGCTGCTGGACAACAGCCACCGGACCAAGTGGCAGGTGCGCTCAGCCGGTGGTCAGCAGGGCGCGGTGCCCAGCGTCTGCTTCCTGCTGCCGCCGCCCGACCAGGAGGCCCTGGAAGCGGTGCAGCGGCTCAAGCGACAGTACGAGATGTCCATCACTCTCTGGCAGCGCAAGCAGCTGCGCATGCGCCAGAACATGATCCTGGCCACCATCAAGGTGGTCAAGAGCTGGGACCTGCAGCAGGTGAGGACATGCGAGGTGGGGGTAGCGGACGGTTACGGTCGGCGACTGATGACGGGTAGGTTGGCAGCGTTTGGCTTGAGTGTTAATGTCTTACTGCAGCGTAATCACACGTGCGTCTCCAATTTTGTCGTTTCCATCAAGGTAGTTGACTTCGTTATTCGCCATAGGTAAGCTGATGCGACAGACGTGTTTCAAGGATGTTCAGTAAGGGACTTTTAAAAACCTAGTTCTGTGGGCCTTTTTGAAAGGACAAATAAGTGTCTTTTATAGAGGCCGGTTCCATAAGTGACTTTTTGCTCGGCAGTTCATGGCGATGGGCAGGGACCAGAGGGACGCGATCCGACGAGCTCTCAACGAGGACGCCGAGAAGCTGATCCAGGAGGGCGACCCGAAGGACCCGCAGCTGCGTCGGCTGCGACGTGAGATTGACGAAGTCAACCGACTCTTCGACGAGTTCGAGCGTCTGGCGGCCGAGGGTGAGTGGGCTGATTCGGTCGCCGGGCCGGTGGTAACCACCTGCGGCTGGCGGCGGCAGAATCTGGTCAAGTTTACAGGGGCTCTTTTACCAGCCGACCGTGGCAAACATTTCAAAAATTTGGTAGGATGTGCACACTTACCAGCAGTTTGAAGGGGAGATACATGCGTGAAAATTGTTGTCTGTTTTATTCTAGACACACACATACGTAAAGGTTAAGTGCGTCGGCAATGGTAGTATTAAGAAGCACATGGCTTTCTCGCAGATAATCGGGAGTGCTAAGCGCATAAGTGAGTTCCTTTTTCCATACCATATAGTTTACTTTTGGCACACCATAATTGCGTAGGCCACGTGCCAGTCCGGACCTGTCCTAACATAGTGCGCCTGGCTGCCGCAGCGAACCCGACCAACCAGTTCAACACCAAGGTGACGTCGCTAGAGTCGGAGCTGACGAAGGCGGAGGGCGAGCTGGCGGACCGCTGCACGGCGCCCATCCCGCGCGACGCCCGCGACGCTCAGCGGCTGGTGACCAAGCACAAGGACTGGGAGAACCGGCTGCAGGTGCGCCGCGCCTCCCGCTCTGGGGGCTCCGGGCAGAGCAGAGGATAGGGAATCTGACCAGCGTCGGGTCCTAGTAGATTGAGTCGTTTTTGATCGGTCGTGGCTTGTGCGAGAGAGGGCAGGTATGATTTGCCGTTGGACGAAGCTAGTTGTGGAGTCAGGCCCGCGCCGTGGTGGGCGCTGGCTCGCTATCCTGCTGAGCCACGCTTTACGTAGCGTTAGGTGAGTGTCTGTCCTCGCTTAGGTCGGGCGCTGTCCACGTCAAATGTCTGCCGCGTCGTTCACATCTTAATCTACCGTGGCTTGCCGGCTTTCCAAGCATGCCAAGCGCAATGTGTTGACGGCTGGACTGTGCTGTGAATTTTACCATAGAGCGTTTGTGAACGCTGTCGGGGCTCGAGCCGGCTGAGTTAGTACCGAGGTCTTATGAGCAGTCTGGCGTACACTGACAAGTCGGTCCCGTCCCCCAGCGTCACGAGCCGACACTGGAGGAGGTGCGCACCATATACGACTCGCTCAGCAAAAAGACGCCCACAATGCAGGCCAAGCTCGACAGAGTGAACACGCAGTGGGAGAGCATCTGGAAGATGTCACACACTTACATTGAACGGTATGACAGGTCCCAGCGACTTCCGTGTGACGTTTTGGGTTGGTCTGTGATTTATACGCCTGGGTTGAGGTGGTGTCGTTTGTCGACCATGCGTCTTTATTACCCGCCATGATGATGCATGGCACTGATCGACATCCAAGAGGGCTGTGTGCGGAGCTGTGGGCTGCGTGGCTCATGTGTTACATCGCATCCCGTTAAAGATGCAACATTTGCCTATATGCCTTATAGCTACAAATGTCAATGTGGACGGTCTGCTTGGCGTGGTTGTCATTATGCTGTGTGGTGTTTCATCCCCTGGTGATTAAGCCGCGGAACCACGGCATTAAGAAGCATTATGCTAATGCCGACTCAGGAGAGGCTACAAAAGCGCCCTGTCCACGTCTCCTGACAGTAACAAAGTATCCCGTCATGCTCTCCGACGGCCAACTGGATTAACGCCCTGTCCGCACCCCTGCCCGCAGTCTGAAGTGCGTTGAGGTGACCGTAAATGAACTGGAGGAGGCTACCAATGTGGTCAGTCACCTGGAGGCCAAGCTGAGCGACTACCGCCAGCTTCCCGACGACCGCGAAGGTCTGAAGTCGGCCCACCTCAGCCTGGTGGACCTGCAGAACAACCTGCAGAAGAAACAGGTGCGCCCGGGAACGGGCAGGCGATAATCCCGCCATCGGGAATACCGATGTGACAGCGTTGCATGGGTGGTATTTGCAAGGTGGTTTTGCCTGGTAAGACTGTCGTGCTTAGTCATTATGACGTGGGCATTACTTTACGGACCGCATGTAGAGGCAGAGAGTACAACTTGGGTACTCTTGCTGTCCACGCAGAGTTGTTAGTGATGGGCTCGTCGTCCTAGGACACAACTCTATCGCGCTCTTCGCGCCTGCGTGTTGAAGCCGCGCTGCTACGCTACCGTCTCGGCGCAAGGCGGATCTGTTCGCTGCACTACGCTCCGCGCTGTATGTTGCTTCCGTTCTGACATAGTTCCGCTGCTCTCCGCCAGGGTGCGATCGAACAGCTCAACGTTGACATGGGTAAGACGCGCAAGACGACGGAGCGGACGCGTCCCCGGCAGCGGAACCACCCGGACGTGGAGGAGCTGGAGGACGACGTCAACCGCGTCACCAAACAGTGGACCAACTGCTGCGAGGGCGTCGTCGACAGGTGCGCTCGGGCTGGACACTGCGTCAGCGGAGAGCTCAGATGGCGCAACTGTGGGCTTGGCCGCAGGTCCCTTCCTAGGGGGCTGCGTCAAAGGTGGCCCGTGTCTTCATGCTCGACTCTTATAGGCTAGGGCCGAGTAATCAGTGGCCTGTCGCATTCATGTGATGGTGCGAATGCTGGTCGTTTCGACGAACGACATCAGTCACCTGTTTCGACATGCCGCCGTTTTACTCAAGCTTGACCGAGTTCGGACCACTGTCGCCTTTCATGGCAGACTTCGTGAAATGACGGCCATGACAGGCATTGTTGCCGTGGACTCCGAACCCGTCGGCCCAGCATTATGTCCAGTCCACCCGTGTCTGTCGTCTGGAGGGCTTCGGGAGGCCTGGTCACGTGACCGTGCGGCGGCGCCGTCGGCAGGCTGCGCTCTGTGGACCAGGCGGCGGACCTGCTGGCGCAGTACGAGCAGAAGGAGCGCATGGAGCGCCAGTGGGCCTCGCAGATGGAGGCGGAAGCGCGGCACCGGCAGCAGGAGGAGGAGCGCGCTCGGGTCAGTGTCACGCCGCCCTCGGTCGCCGCGGACCGCGGGCGGGCCTGGCTGCCGGCCCTGGTGTTGTGGAGGTGCTGTGTCTGGCACGTCACATTCTCAACAGCCGATCAGGAGAATGCCGCAAGAGTGCTGGTGGACGGCGACGCCGGGCCCGCTCACGCCGGACACTGGACATGCAAGAACACGGGCTTTGTTAGTTCAGAATTATACTGGCAGATCCAGTATAACAGGAGACTCTGGCTGAACGACGTTATCAAGCAAACATTGGCTATTTTCTTAACGCGCGATATTTCAAGTTGTGCTTTGATCACGAATGCATGAGTGGCATGCACTCGTGATCATAAATACAGCTTGGAATGTCGACCATCAACAATATAACCAAAGTTTGTTTGACAACATCGTTTGACTAGTACCGCCTGGTATATTGAGGGTCAATAGCCGCCAGCGTAAGAACTAGAAGCTCTTATTGCCGAAAAACCAGGGTCTCAAGACCTTCCTTGCTGATATCAAGGGCACGAGCTTTGTTGTTTTTAATGTGAGGTCATTCGCTTTGCTGCCCGACTCGAGAGGCTAGTCTGGAGACGGGTTGGAATGGACGTTTGTTGATGCATTTATACATACGTGCGTGTAAACGTAAGCTAGCTACAATGTGGCTTACGCTGCGTCGCACCCACATCGGGAACGAGATTCATCCAGACTGACAGACGGCGAGGTAATTGTTGCCAGTCGGCATTGTAGTGAGATAAACCGACTATTGAGCTCGTCTGTGTGAGCGCTCCATGTGTCGCCTGTCTGTCGCCTGTCGGGTGACGTCAGGCCATGTCACGTCCGTGAAACATGCAAGGAGCAAGAGCGCGCGGCCCGCCGTCGTGTGCCCGTCGCATCCTGCTGAACCTCGCTCTGTTGTGGCCATTCTCAGCAAGCGGTGATCGAGAAGTACCGCCAGTGTGACGAGTCGATCGCCGACTTCCTTGGCTGGATGGCCAAGGTGGAGAAGCGGTTGGCCAGTCAGGAGGAGGTCCAGGAGGACGTCCCCAAGCTCCGCAACCAGATCAACGTGGTCAAGGTCAGGTCATCGCCCGAGGCGGTGGTCGTAATTCGCCGCTCTTGACAGGCCTCAGTTCTCTGCATCTGCTGTGGCGAAGATGTTGTGCAGTGTTGTAGAGCCAGCACTTAAGACCTACACCGGGCTAAATAATTTCAAAATATAATGTTCACCCCGCGACACTAAGGAATTTTAAAACGTCATATTCGGCAAAGCTTAGACCACTGACGTCTTCAAGAACTGGAATGCTGTAGGCAGTTTTTGTCCTTGTTCTGCGCATGGATCGCGTCACGTCAGTCCTCGACTGTTCAGAAACGGTCCACAATCGCTCTGGTTTGCGTGTGGCTAGTTTCCACCTGGGGTCACTCTGGCATCAGCTTCTACGCCGCTCTGTCTGACGTCTGTTGTGAGCCGACCGTTGCGCCGAGGCGCCCCGGCCGGGCGCTGACCTACCGTCGCTGCCGTAGGCCATCAAGGATGAGCTGAAGCAGCAGCAGCGCCCGGTGTTCGCGGCGCTGGACCAGGTGCAGGACGTGGCCGAGCGTGCCGGCGACATCCTTTCCAAGGACGAGCTCAAACAGCTGCAGCACAATGGACAGGAGCTGCGCCAGCGGTAGGCAGAGGCGGAAGGCGGCTCGGTCCGAGGCTGGCACGAACTGTGTTCTTTGTGTTGCCTCGAGTGTTAAGCGGAATTCGGCAGGTAGTCTCGCAACGCGTCATAAGGTTAACGGGTGTTAATTTCGCTCAAGCGTCGTATTGTGAGGATGTCACGGCGTCCGTATTTGCAAAACTGCGGCACGATGTCCCACCACGGCCCCGAGCCGTCGTGTGATGGCACCGAGGCCGTCCTGCGGCCGCATGTGCTAGTCTCGTCCCGGCGCGGCCCGGTGACCTCGGCTGCGGCCACCGCAGATACGACACCGTGACGGACCGCAGCGACCAGCTGCTGCGGAGCCTCGGCGCCTGCCTGGACGAGCTGAGCAAGTACCGCTCCGACCTGGACACGTTCGAGGTGAGCGGCCGTGCTGCCGCGGCCGGCCGGCGGAGGCCGCCACTCGGGTCCGCTGCCGGACGCTCGGTGATGATCCGGCACTCCGGCATGCGGTCGGAGTGTGGTGTTAAACGTTCGGTCGGGAGACTAAGTCTGGCCGCCGTACACGTTGTCGCGTCCAAAGCGACTCTTCAGCGCCCTGTCGCGTGACGGGCCGGCACTCCGGCGTGCGGTCAGAATGTGGTGTGTGTGGTGTATGCGGTCAGAGTGTGGTTTTTAACATTCGATCGGGAGACTAAATCGTGCCGTACACGTTGCGCACCCCGTGGATACGCGTATCCGAGGCGACTCTTCAACGCTCTGTCGCGTGTCCAGATTATGTTATTTGCGTGATCTAAGTGTACCGTGCTGCCTCGAGGTCTGATTTGAAAATTTACTGACACCTGCGCGACTTAACCGTCTATTGTTATGCTTGCATTTGTATTTGCTGCTGAAGACCATTTCCATTCAATCTACGTCTGAGATGTTCATAAACAAAGACATGGTACAAAACAAAGCTTTTCATTAGATCATGCTCAGGGCTAGCAGAAGGACGCAATGCTGCGCTCCTTTGTGTTGAGACGAACGCCTGGCCCCTACTGACTGCCGCTCCCCGCCGGGCAGACCTGGCTCACCCGGGCCACGCACACGCTGTCGGACAAGGAGCGGCAGCTCTCCGACCTGGGCAAGCTGAAGTCGAGCGAGCAGGGCTGCCGTGACCTGGTGCACGACGTCATCGCGCACCAGGCCGACCTGCGCTTCATCACGGTCGCCGCGCAGAAGTTTATCGACGAGAGCAAGGAGCACCTGAAGACGCTCAACGACTTCCGCACCAACCTGCCGCAGCGCATGGGTCATGTCGAGCCGCGCGACTACGGGGTCAAGCGCGAGGTCACCCAGGTCACGCAGGTCAGCGGCGGACGGCGCACGATGACGAGAGGTTGGCGCGGTGGGCTTTGGTTTGAGATCAGGTGATTGGAGGAATGATGCGTAGGGTATTGAGGTGACAAAAGATAGGATACGTTCTGTGTTTTTGATGATGCGCGGGAGTCAGGTGTGAATTCATGTTTAGCTGAAAATATTATTAATTTTGTATTGCAGCTGGTTCAACTCTCATTTTTCCCCGGACGTAAAATGACTACCAAGGGCGGTTTGATTGTCTGTGAAGACGCTTTTAGAATGTCGGCTATCAACCTGTCTGTCTGTGCTGCACGCAAAAATAGGTTCGCACGATCCGATTTTGCATAGTCTCTCCCCTCACTCTGTAGTTGCGTTACAACTCCATTCCTCGTCATCACACGCCATTGAAGATCTTTCACAGCACTGACACCGCACTCCAATCCCGCAGGCGTACCAGGACCTGCTGGGCCGCGCCAACAAGTTGTCGGACAAAGTGTCCAGCCTGGGCGGCCGGCAGCGCGAGTACCAGGACGCGCTGGACCGCGCCAGCCGCTGGCTGCGCGAGGTCGAGCCGCAAGTGCAGAAGCTGGTGACGGAGCCGGTGGCGGCCGAGCCGCGAGGCGTGCAGGATCAGCTCGACCGCGCCAAGCACCTCAACAGCGACATGCTCTCGCAGGGCAAGCTGTTCGACAACGCCACGGCGTCGGCCGCGCAGCTGGTGAAGGCGCTCGAGGGCCAGATCACCCCGAAGGAGGGCGAGCGCATCACGCGCCCGCCGACCGACCTGACCGATCAGTACCGCCGGCTCTCCGACGCCGTCATCGACCGCTGCCAGGCGCTGGACATGGCGCTGGTGCAGTCGCAGGGCGTGCAGGACGGTCTCGACTCGCTGATGGCGTGGCTGAACCAGGCCGAGGCGCGGCTCAAGTCCATCCTGAAGCCGGCCAGTCTGAACCGCGATCGCCTGACGGAGCAGGTGCAGGAGCAGCGGCTGCTGCAGACCGACATCGACTCGCACCAGCCGGGCGTCGACCAGATCCAGCGCTCCGCGGGTCAGCTGCTCGAGACGCCCTCTAACGCGCGCATCGCCAAGAAGATCGAGGAGAACCTGCGCGAGCTGACGACGCGCTTCGACAAGCTGCACGAACGGTGCCAGGAGCGCGGCCGTCAGCTGGACGAGGTGGCCTCGCAGACCGACAACTTCTGGGGCAAGGCCGAGCGCTTCGAGCATTGGTTCGTCGAGATCTTCGAAGTGGTGGAGTCGCAGGAGATCATCAAGCTGAACGCCGAGTCGTACACGAGCAAGATGGACGAGCTGGCGCGCCGGCGTGACGCGGGCCGGCCCGACTACGAGGCGGCCGTGCGCACCGGCACCGCCCTCGTGGGGCGCCGTGACGTCACTGACACGGCTGTTACCAAGGACAAGGTCAAGGTTAGTGGGAGAGCTACCAGGTGGTATGCGGTGAGGGGGCCGGGTGGTGAGTGTTTGGCGGATAGGTGTCGTAGTTGAACGGTTGTGTTCAACGTGCCTAATGTCTGGTTTGCTCAGATTGACTGCTGGTTGATGTAATAAGAACAGCAATGTGATGTGGTTGTCAGTCGGTTTGTGTGGTCATCACGTAAGCCTTGGTCGGACAAAGTTTGAGCCAGCCGGCGCTGAGCTGTGGCGTCTTACGGAGCAAAATGTGCCGCAGGTGCTGCAGCAGCCCTAACGCTGCAAAAGCAACTTGTCGCTACTGGTCTTGCTCTGGTCTGCTCAGCGTTTGGTGGCCGTCGTCGGTAACGCCGCGCCTCCCTGTTTGAAGGAAATGGAGGCGCAGTGGCGCGAGCTGCAGGACCTGCTGGACGAGCGGCTTCAGGAGGGTCGCGCTCGCTCCGACTCCCTCAACGCCTACGAAAAGCTCAAGGAGGACGTGCTGACTTGGATGAAAAAGATGGAGACCCGCATCGACTCCCTGCAGCCGGTGGCCGTGGACCAGAAGCTGCTGAAGCAGCAGAGCGACGAGCTCAAGGTACCGCACTGCGTAGCTGTCCGTGGCCTCTGTAGTCGTCGGTGTCACTGTCACGTGAGCTCGTTTGCTGTATGAGCCCTGACGTGAATCAATACTGAGATATGCGTGCTTCCACTGGAACTAGCGTGTGATCAGTGTGTAAATTTTTGTCATGTCATATGAGCTGGACGCGGTCATTAGAGCTTTACTGAAGAAGCATAGAGGTGGCTTTTATGGAATCCACCCGTCGCAAAATGTTGTGCTGAGTGTCCTGCAGAGTGCAGGAAATTTGCGAGCAGTACCGCGCGAGCATGAATTTTTTTCGACGCTGTTTCATCCGAGTTCGCCTTGGCCTGGTCGTCTGTGCCCCTTGACTGTAGCCAACCTCCTCCGCCGCGTCCGCAGCCACTAGTGAAGGAACACGGCCAGTACGTGACCACGATCGACAAGGTGAATGACCTGGGCAACCAGTACGACGCCTTGCTGCGGGCCGATCGGGCCGAGACGCCGTCCCGACGTCGCTCCTCCGTCACGCCCGCCAAGAAGACGTCCGTCGTCTCCCACGGACGCCGCTCCGTCACGCCTCTGTCATCAGGTGCGTAGCAGTCACGCCACTGACACTAGGTGCGGATCAGTCACGCCTCTGACACCAGGTGCGGATCAGTCACGCCACTGACGCCAGGTGCGGATCAGTCACGCCTCTGACGCCAGGTGCGGATCAGTCACGCTACTGGACACCAGCTGTGGATCAGTCACGCCACTGACACCAGGTGCGGATCAGTCACGCCACTGACACTAGGTGCGGATCAGTCACGCCACTGACACTAGGTGCGTATCAGTCACGCCACTGACACGAAATGTGCATCAGCCACGCCACTGACTTCAAATGTGCATCAGTCACGCCACTGGCACCGAATGCGGATCAGTCACGCCACTGACACCAGGTACGTATCAGTCACACGCCTGACGCCAGGTGCGGATCAGTCGCGCTATTGATGAGCCACACCACCAGTCACTACCAGTATTACCTAAGCAGGAGCCTCGTCACGTGTTTGACACCAGGTACAGGTGACCCGCGGAGGTGGGGACACCGCTCACGTTGACATCAGGCGTGTCAAGCGGGTGGTGACAGGTAAAACAACTGCACTGGTGGTGTGGTGAAGCCAGCGTCTGTTGTTTTCCATTTGCCTCCTTCTCTTGCCTGCATGCTGCACAGATGGGGTGGAACGGAGCTGTAATCGCGTCGATTTGTTTTGTTTTCGGCACGTCCCACCGCTCCCCGTCGTTTAGCACAGCACTCCGGTCCATTTGGTTGGCTTTGTATTTTCGCTGCATACCTTTCCGTCGCCTTCGATGCTTCTGAGTTGTTCTTCGTTCTGTACGCGTTCCGTCATTGCACCGCCTACTTCTGTTCCTTCACGGCACACTCGCTTGGCGTGTTTTTTTTTTTTGGCGTGTGCCGCTGACCTTCCCGGATGCCCCGGTGCCCGGCTTCTCGGCGGCTGAGCGGCATGCGCGTGTGTTCGCAGTGCGTAAGCCCTCTTTCGAGCGCTCGTCGCCGGCTCCCGGCCGGCCCAGCCGCCGTGAGTCGCATGCTGACGGATATGTCGGTCTGGACGGTAAGCAGCGGCGCACAGTGCATTGACTGGCGTGTGCACAGCCCCGCTCGGTGCGGTGTAGACCGGAGCGCGGAGGGGCACGAGAAGAGAGATGGGATGCGTTTCTGACGAACGGGTGGTGGTCAGAGGTCGAAGACGGTAGCTTTGGTGGGCCCGAGCGTCCTGTGACGGCACCAGCAGGTGCCAACTGCGGGTGTGTTGAGAAGTGATGCCATTCATCCAGGGCGTTGGTATTCTGAGAAACATTTGCGCTTGGATCTGTTTACTGCATGTGCAATTTCAACGCTGTCCAACGAGATGTCAGCGCCTCTCCAAGCAGCGTGAGCACTTAAAACGGCTGAGTGTTAGCCTACCTATTGTCATTTCCATGCAGCCCAGTATTCATACGCTGGCACCACTATCATCCGGTAGACCGTGTCGGGCCGAAGCCTAACACCCCCCCCCTCCCCTCCCTCCACCCCCAACAGACCAATCGCCGATCCAGGCGCAGCTGAACGAGATCAACCATCGCTACCAGATGGCAGGTACGCGGCTCACCGACCGGCAAGGCGGACATCGACACCGTCAGCGACGAAGTGCGCCGCCACATGGACACGCTGAAGCAGCTGCAGCAGTTCCTGGACAAGACGGAGCGCCAGCTGCCGCGCGACGCCGTGCCGCAGAGCCGCGACGAGGCCGACAAGCAGCTGCGCGCCGTGCGAGCGCTCGTGGAGGAGGTGTACGAGCGGCAGCCGGCGCTGGACGGCCTGAAGACACAAGCGGGCGAGCTGCTGCGCCGGCGGCCCGGCGTGCCCGGCGCCGACCTGCTGCAGGGCGCGCTCACTGACGTGGTGGAGCGCTGGCGCGCGCTGCAGGAGCGGCTCAAGGCGCGCCAGCGCAATCTGCAGGACAGCCGCCAGTTCTTCGACACGCACGACCAGCTGAACGGCTGGCTGCAGGCCAAGGAGAAGATGCTGACGGTGCTGGGGCCGCTGAGCTCGGACCCGCGGCTCGTGCAGATGCAGAGCCAGCAGGTGGCCGTGCTGAGGGACGAATTCGCCGGCCAGTACCCCACCCTGCAGACGCTGAACCGCGTCGGTCAGGCGCTCGTGGAGGAGGCAGAGCCGGACAGTGCCACCGCGCAGAAGGTGAGCTTGACGACCGGCACCGCAGCGGCCTCGTCACAAGAGGCTGCGTTCTGTGTGTCGGCGGAAATATCATGTCAGAGTGCCTGCCGCGGGGATTGCTTTTGTTACCATTGATGTATTGTCAAAAATATGACAATGGCTATCGAAATATTTGATGAAAGCTCGATGGCAGATTCAAAATGGATGAACAAAGCGTCGTTTCGTAAAGTAGTGCCGTTATCACTGTGTCGTGCTTAGTCAGTGACCTTGTTTTACATGTTTTAAGGCACGCAACTTACCGTGTGCTAACGTGCTCAGCGATTGATGTGTCGCGCCTGTTTGTTCCCAGGTGGGAGACAAGCTACGCAAGACCAACGACAAGTGGGAGGAGCTGATCGCCAAGCTGGAGGATCGGGAGCAGAACCTGGACGCCGCCTCGGGCGCCAGCCAGCAGTTCAACGAGTCGCTGGGTCGCCTGCAGCGCGACCTGCAGAAGATCGGCGACAACTTCGACGACCTGTCGACGGAGCGCACTGAGCCGCAGCAGAAGCTGAAGAAGCTGAACCAGCTCCAGCACCAGGTGGACGAGCTGCGACCGCAGCTAGCTGAGCTGGAAGCGCTCGGTGAGGAGCTGTGCAACGTGCTGACCGACCCGTCGGCCAAGACCGAGGTCAAGGACAAGCTGTACCAGCTGGGCCGCCAGCAGAACCAGCTGCAGAAGAAGATGGACAACCTGCGCGCCGAGCTGGAGAACTCGCTGAAAGAGGACCGCGAGTTCGAGGACGGCTGCGCGGACGTACAGGAGTGGATCAAGGACTGCGTCGACCAGATGGGCCGCCCGCTGAAGGTGTCAGCCTGACGCCGACAGGCTGGCGCGCCAGGTGGCAGAGTACGAGCCCGTCTACAAGAGTGTGACGGCGCGCGAGCACGAGGTGTTCCTCGTCCAGCGCAAGGGCCAGGACCTGCTCGCCAAGACGACCAACAAGCAGGAGGCCAAGACGCTGCAGAAGTTCCTGGATAAGCTGCAGAAGGACTGGGACGGCATGAAGCGGGAGGCAGTGAGTCGCCACACCCGTCTGCAGACGTGCTCCGACCTCTGCCGCAAGTACCACGCGGCGCTGGAGAGGTTCGCGCCCTGGCTGGACAAGGCCGAGGACCGGCTGGACCGCATGCAGCCCATCAGCTTCCGCAAGGCCGACATCCAGAAGCAGCTGCGCGAGGTGCAGGCGTTCAAGAACGACGTGTCGCTGCACTCGGGCGAGCACGAGCAGACGCAGTCGGGCGGCGACGCGCTGCTCGCCGCCACCGACACGGACAAGGAAGGTGTGCAGGCCGACCTGCAGCTGCTACGGCAGCGCTGGGACGCGCTCAGCGCCGCCGCCGTCGGCCGCCTGCAGGCGCTGGAGGACGTGGCCGCCAAGGTGGGCGACTTCCAGGACAAGCTGCGCGACCTGGAGCACGGCCTGCAGCGCTGCGAGGACCGGCTCGGGGCGCACGACGCGCTCGGCGGCGGCCGCGACCCGCGCATGCTGGGCCGTGTCAAGGACCTGCTGCAGGAGGCCGACCAGCTGGGCCAGCAGCTGGAGAAGGTGCGCGGCGCTGGCGACGAGCTGCGTCAGGACGCACACCAGCTGGGCTCCAGCGCAGACCACGTCAAGGACGACGTCGATCGCGTCGACCGACGGCTGCGCGATCTACGTGACCAGCTGGATGACCGGCACAGCGACCTGCAGAACGCTTCGCATGCCGTCAATGAGGTCAATGAACGGCTCAAGGGGCTCTACCACCAGCTGGGTGTGCTGGAGGAGGAGCTGGACAACATGGCGCCGGTGGCGCGCGAGGTCATCATCGTGCAGAAGCAGGTGACGGAGATCACCGTCTTCATGGAGAAGGTGGTGCACGAGCGACACGAGCTGGACGCCGCCGAGAAGACAGTCCAGGGCCTCGTTCAGGAGGTAAGGGCTGCTTATACGTTTCGCTGGCGTGGATAGCTGGCTCCTTGCTATTGATAACCACCACCTAAATTTCTGCCCATATGGCCATCAGCATTTAGTGATGCATCAAAATAGGTAGCCGTCAGGTGCTTAACCCTGCATTAAAAAGGTTATTCTGTGGCACCTGATCCTGGCACCTGCTCGGTTACCTGCAAGTCTTGACTGTCATGCAGTCTGTGTTGCCCATCAGCTGGCTGCTGTGCCACCCATCAGCTGACCACTGTGCCGCTCATCAGGTAACCGCCCATCAGCTGACCACTGTGCCACCCATCAGCTGACCACCGTCTGCCCATCAGCTGACCACTGCTCTCCCGTCGACAGGGCTTCGCCGCCGACGCCAAGACGATGCGTGACCAGCTGGGCAGCATGCGGCGCCAGCTGAGCCGCATGGACGACCGCGGCCGCGCCCGCGAGCGGGACGTCACCGTCGTGCTCACCAAGCTGACCACCTTCTACAGCACGTACGAGGTGGTGGTGGAGGACATCCGACATGCATCGCGCGAGGAGGCCTCGCTGCCGAAGCCGGCCACCGATGTGGAAACAATCCGCCGCCAGCAGCAGGAGTTCCGCCAGTTCAAGACGACGCGCGTCGAGACGCTCTCGGCGCACGTGGACGACTGCAACAAGAGCGGTCAGGGCCTCGTGCAGTCGGCCGCCGCCGGCGTCAACACCACCGGCATCGAGGGCGACCTCGAGAAGATGAACGACTTGTGGAACGAGCTGAAGGAGCGGGTATGTCAGAGGTGGTCAAATGAATCGAGGGAATTGGGTGGCGAGGGAAGAGCCTACGGACGACATTGGACGTGGTGGGTTTGGTTTTGGGCCAACGGAGACACGCTGTCTCGAAAATTTGGGCATAAATAGTGAACACTTCTCAGCCAGTTCGCAGAAGGCCTTTTTGGCGCGGTAGAAATACAAGCTAATGTCCAGATTGTTCATGCAGCGCTTAAGCAAATGCTTCAAGTGGACACATTGAAATCCCAGCATCGGGGTCTATGGTCACGTTTGTTGAGCCCAGAGTCACGCTCATTTTCTGTCTTTTCCACCACAACTCGGTGCCCCGACTGCAAGTGGCAGAGAGTAACACCCGGGCGCTCATCCCTGCACCGTTAAATCGAATCGAAAAATGTGGATTCGCTTACGGCGTCTTGAGGCTGTTTCCGGCCTCACTTCCGACGGAGTATGTAGGCGCTAACGATATCACCAGTGGCATGTGAAACCAAGAGAATGAGTCTCGACTGTACCCACGCACACTCCTACAGCCACAGCCTGAGACAGGCCGTGACGATGTGTTCCGTGACGTCACACTTCCTGCATCCCCGCCGGCTGAGACCCCGCCGCTGTCTCCAGATGCACAACCGGGAGCGAGCCCTGGACGTCGGCCTGCTGCAGTCGGGCAAGTTCCGCGAGGCGCTTGAGGGCCTGCTGCAGTGGCTGGCCGACACCGAGGACCTGGTGGCGCACCAGAAGCCGCCGTCGGCCGACTATAAGGTGGTGAAGGCGCAGGTGCAGGAGCAGCGCTTCCTGCAGAAGCTCCTGCTCGACCGCCAGGGCTCTGTGTCGTCCCTGTTCGACATGGGCAAGGAGATCGCCAAGAACTGCCAGCCGGCGGAGCGAGCTGAGATCGAGGGGCAGCTGCGCCAGCTGACCGAGCGGTTCGACGCGCTCACCGGCCAGGCGGCCGAGCGTATGCAACAGCTCGAGGACGCCATGAAGGTACGTGGCGGCCGGGCCAGCTGATGCGCCGCGCCGGAGAGCGGGGGGGTCGCTCCCGGGGTGTCCTGGTGAGATTGAAAGGTCGTGATTATGTCTGAGTTGAACATGTTTGTCACGGTTTTGCGAGCGCCGCATTTTTTTATATGAGGTATTGAAAACAACTAGGATCCTCGGTAAATGGTCCATAGGTGTCTAATAAGTTGTGCGTGTGGTTATTATTTCATAGCACTGTATACAGGTGATTTACTGAAGTACTTGTATGATCTTCCAAACAAGGGTAATAGCATGTTCCAGTACTCACAAGAGAGGTCATTTCATTGCAGGTCGCGAAGGAGTACCAGGATAAGAACGGCCCACTTGTCGAGTGGCTGGAAAAGATGGAAAAGAAGTTGAAGGACATGGAGACGATTCCCACCGATGAAGACAAGATCCAGAGAAGGATCAAGGATCACGACGTAAGCCCCAGATCGTTTTGCACGAGCTCCCTCCATTATTGCATTACTCATCATAGGTGCTTATGACGCCGGGCTTCAGTGGCGCCGTGGGAACGCAAAGGACGTGTCAACGCTAGACCTGCTTCAAGTCTCGTCCATTGATGATTTCTGACGGTCAGCCTCATTGCTTGCAATGGCAAGGGAGGCGATGATCGTAGAAGTGAGTTGTGTCTCAACGAGCGACCTAACTAGTTAGGATTCATGTGATAGTCAGGTGCGTAACCCGAGGCACCACACTCCCTTCCGCGAGCTGCGAGCTCACTCGTGATCAGCTCTACCGCCTGCTCATCATCCACCCCGGCGGTCCGCAGACGCTGCACCGCGAGATCGTGCAGCGCGGCGGCGACTTCGACGAGCTGGCCAACATCGCCACCGTCCTGATGGAGCTGGTGGGCGACGACGAGGCGCAGGCACTGGCCGACCGGCTGCAGGAGGTCACCGACGCCTACACCAAGCTGGTGGACGACAGCGAGGCGCTCGGCCGCCGCTTGCAGGACGCCGGCAAGCAGCTGCGCGCGCTCGTGCTCAACTACGAGGACTTCCTCGTCTGGATGGACGAGATGGAGCAGCGGCTGAACAAGTACAAGGTGCTCTCAGTGCACGTCGACAAGCTGCACGAACAAATGGAAGAGTTGACGGTGAGTGAGCTGAGTGCAGAGAGTGAGGCATGGGAGGACCGCGGCAGATGATGGACATTAATAGCAGGGGCTCTAGGTCACATTGTCACAGGTTTTGGGTAATAGATATTGTCAAGATACGCTGGAAGATGAACGATACTTTCGTGTGTGGATAGCCAGGCGTAACCGACAAGCCTGGTGTATAATGGTCACCATCGATATCGGTATATATTGTATCGATGACCAGGCGTAACGAGCACACCAGCGTTCCCAGGTGCTAGAGGTAGTGGCCCACTAGCCGCGGAAACTATGTACATGGAGTATATTTACGATAGGTCACCACATTCCATTATGCGCGTGTTCGCTGCGCTGCTAAGCCCATCAGCTGCCGAATGTCGCGAACCCGAGTGTTCCGGCTCTGTGCCGGCTCTGTGCTGGCTCTGTCCCGACTCTGTGCGGGTTTTGTTCCGGCTCTGTGCCGGCTCTGTTCCGGCTCTGTGCCGGCTCTGTGCGGGCTCTGTGCCGGCTCTGTGCCGGCTCTGTGCCGGCTCTGTGCCGGCTCTGTACCGGCTCTGTGCCGGCTCTGCGCCGGCTCTGTGCCGGCTCTGTCCCGGCTCTGTGCGGGCTCTGTGCCGGCTGTGTGCTGGCTCTGTGCCGGCTCTGTACCGGCTCTGTCCCGGCTCTGTGCGGGCTTTGTGCTGGCTCTGTGCCGGCTCTGTTCCGGTTCTGTGCGGGCTCTGTGCCGGCTCTGTGCCGGCTCTGTACCGGCTCTGTGCCGGCTCTGCGCCGGCTCTGTGCCGACCTCGCTGACGGGTGGCGCGCCGGCGGCAGGATCTCAGCGAGGAGGTGGACCACCACCGGGAGCCGGAGCAGGAGCTGCAGGACATCGGCGCCGACCTGATGCGGCACATCTCCAGCGATGAGGCGCTCCAGCTCAAGGACAAGCTGGACTCCATCAGTCACCGCTATTCGGACCTTGAGACCAAGGTGAGCCGCTGTGGACGCTGCGAGCCAGTGAGGACCGGTGTGGCTGCCGAAGGGAGGGGACAGAGACGTAGGAGCGGAACGGAGCTCGACCGTCGCCGACTGGCGTCGGGGTCTGCCTGGTCACAGTGTGTGTGTAAGATTTGGCTGAAACGGCAGCGTCTGGACTGAGACCAGCCCGTGTTTGTTCTGCACGCGCTCAACCAGAAGATGTTACATAACGATGGCGCTTGCAGTGTGTCGGCAAGCTTGAGTTGTCATTCCTGACGCGTCAGATAAAAGCAAGTAGCGCGCCTTAGTGTCTCTTTACGCTTATTCATAGAAGACATTCATTAGGCTCGTTCAGCCATGGTGGGAGACCGCCGCTACTTTGCACTTCGGTTATGCCCCGGGGCCGTGTCTGATTTACTGGGACACGAGCGGCCGACTTGAGCCGGCGTGCTGAGCCAACCTCTCCCTCTCTCCTTCCAGGCGGGTTCGCTGCTGAAGAACGCGCAGGAGGTGCTGCCGCTGGTGCACGCCTTCCACAAGGCTCACAACCACCTGACTGAGTGGCTGGTGGCCACGGAGCAGACCTTGCTGGCTGTGGACTCACTGCCCAATCCTGACGAGACGATGGAGCACCTGGAGCAGCAGGTCAGCGCACCAGGCCCTGATGCTGACGCTGCTGCTGACAGTGCTGTTGATGCTGATGCTGATGCTGATGCTGATGCTCAATGGAACCCCGGCATGCGCGGTTTCGGTGACGGTCGTTTTATATCGCACATCATATGAAATGAGTGTTGTCCTGCTCTAGCAATGACACCAACTACAGATTAGGAGATCAAGTGCGTTAGGAAACCGAGCCTGCGCCCTCTACTAGCTACCTCCACGAGCGTTACCGGCATCATCAGCCGCCAGCGCTCGTCGTCTGACCCGACTTCGTCTGACCTCAGGTGCAGGAATACAAGCCGGCTCTGGACCAGGTGAACCAGGCCGGGCCGCAGCTGTGCCAGATCTCGCCCGGCGACGGCGCCCAGACCATTGAGGCGCTGGTGACGCGCGACAACCGCCGCTTCGAGGCCATCGTCGAGCAGGTGCAGCGCAAGGCAGAGCGCCTGCGCATGACCAAGCAGAAGAACTTGGAGATCGTCGGCGACATTGACGAGCTGCTCGACTGGTTTAGAGAGGTGAGCCGGGTCTCGCAGGCGACGGCCGCAGTGGGCAGTCTTGGTGTCGTCTGGCGGCAAGCACATGGGTCACATGGACAACAGAAGTATGGTTTGATTCGTGTGGCATACATTAAGCTGTCGTAACAACAATGACCGACGGCTGTTATCATGGAAAGGTACGTGACGCGCGTCACCCTACACCTTGAATGAAACGCTGTTGTCGCGCTGGCCAGTACTGGCCGACTCTTAAGATAAAAGCCGATCCGATGCTGTGCGTGCACCACTGAATCCCTCCAGCGTGACGTGGCACCTCACCTGACGCGCTGGCGCCGTCCACTCAGGTCGAGACCCAGATCAAGGAGGCGGAGCCGCCCAGCTCGGACCCGGATGTCATCCGGATCCAGCTGAAGGAGCACAAGGCGCTGTACGATGACGTCAGCAGCCAGAAGGGACGCGTGCGGGACGTGCTGAGCACGGCCAAGAAGATCATGCGCGACGCCGCACAGTACGATGACGTCACCGAGATACGCGAGAAGGTCGACGACCTCAAGGACACGGTCGAATCGGTGAGCTGAGCTGGACCGGCTGTTGCGCCGGAGGATGTGCAAATGTGTTGTGCGCCAAATGACCACCGCAGTCGGCGCGCCCCTAAACTCCAATGTGTTGTGCGTGGGGTGTGGTTTGTGGACAGGCGACTTACAGCTTTGCGGAAATATTCCATGTGAGAAGAGTGAAAACAAAGTAAGACTACGATATGGGCAAACTGTAGCCAAATATGGAGCAGCGCGTCAACGTTACCATCCTGACTCTTGCCGCGGTATCGGTGCGCAGCGAACAGGCAGATCAATCGAGGACCTACCCCTCCTCCCCCCCTCCTCCCGGCCTCGCTGCTAGCCGTGTCTGACTCCGTCCGTCCGGCCCCCCCCCCCCCCCCCTTCGGCTCGTTGCCAGCCGTGGCTGACCCGTCCGTCCTGGGCTTCCTCTCCCCCTCCCCCCCCCCCCCCCCGGCTCACCGCCAGCCGTGTCTGACCGGTCCGCCCGCCCGTCGCCAGGTCAGCAAGCTGTCGTCGGACCGGTTGAGCGCGCTGGAGCAGGCGCTGCCGCTGGCCGAGCACTTCTACGAGACGCACCTGGGTATCTCGGACTGGCTGGACGAGGCGGAGGGCGAGGCGATGCGACTGGACATGCCGGCGCTGCGGCCGGACCAGATCCAGCGCCAGCAGGACAAGAACAAGGCGCTGCTGCAGAGCATTCACGAGCACAAGCCTCTCATCGACAAGCTGAACAAAACGGGCAGTGCGCTTGCCCGGCTCTGCAACGACGAGGAGGCGCAGAAGGTGGGCGGAGGAGAGAGAGAGAGAGAGAGAGAGAGAGAGAGAGAGAGAGAGAGAGAGAGAGAGAGAGAGGAGAAGAGAGAGAGAGAGAGGGAGGGGAGAGGAGAGAGGGAGAAGGGAGAGGGAGAGGGAGAGGAGAGAGGGAGAGGGAGAGGGAGAGGAGAGGAGAGGGAGAGGGAGAGGGAGAGGGAGAGGAGAGAGGGAGGAGGAGAGGGAGAGGGAGAGGAGAGGGAGAGGGAGAGGAGAGAGAGAGGAGAGGGAGAGGGATAGGGAGAGGGAGAGAGGGAGAGGGAGAGGGAGAGGGAGAGGAGAGGGAGAGGAGAGGGAGAGGAGAGGGAGAGGGAGAGGAGAGGAGGGAGAGGGATAGTGAAGAGGAGAGAGAGAGAGAGAGAGAGAGAGAGAAGGAGAGAGAGAGAGAGAGAGACGGCGCGCCCTCGGTAGCTGCGGGGGTGGGGTGCGGTGGTACCGAGCTCGATGCCAAAACACGCCGTGTGTGTGCGGTTTGTACACAAGTCTGAGGCGGGATGTGTCCCACGGTATTCTGCGGTATGGTATGCATTCTAAAGCGTGATGTTTTTCCGGGCTCGCTTTGGACACAGGTCGTTGGCACCGCTAGCATTTACCTCACGCAGCGTTTGTGGTAATTCCCGCAAAAGAACTTGCTGTATGGATCGCAACTGCCAAGATAGCCCGCCCGGCCGACCTGCCGCCGTGTGCCTGCCTTTCCGGCCCGGTGGCAGCTGACACCACCGCGTTGCCTACAGGTCAACGAGATCATGGACACGGACAACGCACGCTACAACGCGCTGCGCACCACGCTGCGCGAGCGGCAGCAGGCGCTGGAAGAGGCGCTGCAGGAGTGCTCCCAGTTCGCCGACAAGCTGGACGGCATGCTGTCGGCGCTCAAGGACACGGCCGACCAGGTGGACAACGCCGAACCCATCTCGGTCCACCCAGATCGCATCCACGACCAGATGGCCGAGAACAACGCCATCATCGACGACCTGGAGAAGCGCGAGGTGGCCTTCGAGGCCGTCAAGCGCGCCGCTGATGACGTTATCAGCAAGGCTGGCGACGGCGATCCGGCCGTGAAGGGTACGTGGGCCTCCTGAGAAGGTGGCACTGGGCGGCTGAGCAGGCTGAGCACGCTTGTGTGCGGTACAGCACTGCTCTCGTAATCGGCGTATGGCTATGTGAAATGCTGCGTTGGATAGGTTTGGTTCCTTTGTTAAAGAATGCATACTTTGCGGCTAGTGGGCGGGTAGTACGCGAAAACTGCATGCGGGGTGACAATGCTGCAGAACCGCGCCCTGGCACTGTGCTCGCCATGGTCTACCACTGGGCCACTTTGCGTGTCGCGGGGGCGTTGTTGCGTGATGGCCGTTCTCTGTGATGCGTCTTGGGCCGAGACGCCGCAGCGGATCAGCCCTGAGACGCTGGGGAGTCCAGACCACCACCAACATGTACCTCCGTTTCAGACATCAAGAAGAAGCTGGACAACCTCACGAAGCTGTGGGACCACCTGCAGAAGGCGACGGACGACCGCGGCCGCTCGCTGGAGGACGCGCTCGCCATTTCGGAGCGTTTCTGGTCGGAGTTGCAGGGCGTCATGAAGGCGCTGAAGGAGCTGCAGGAGGCACTCGGCAACCAGGAGCCGCCGGCCATCGAGCCCAGCGCCATCAAGGAGCAGCAGAAGGTGCGGCAGAGGCCCTCGCCAGTCGGACTGTCGTAGGCCTGTGCGACAAACATCCATGATCTGGTTCTGTTTGTAGCAGCAGTAAAATGTGTGATTTTGACGCGCGGTGCTTGATTACACACGCGGTAATTTTACTATGGGCACTGCATGACCTACAGCATTCGATGGGCCCCAAAACCTCAAATCATCACCAACATCATACGGCTGCCTACCGTCAGCTGTATGAGATAGTGCAGGCTGATTTGCGTGGATGACCGGGTACATCGTGCCCCAGGAGCTGCAGGAGATCCGCCAGGGCATCGAGCAGACCAAGCCCGAGGTGGACAAGGTGCGTCGCACCGGCCAGGACCTGATGAAGGTCTGCGGCCACCCGGAGAAGCCCGAGGTCAAGAAGAACCTGGCCGACCTCGACTCGGCCTGGGACAACATCACGGCGCTGTACGCACGCCGCGAGGAGAACCTCATCGACGCCATGGAGAAGGCGATGGAGTTCCACGACACGCTGCAGGTAACGCCGACTGGGCCGCCCGAGAGGTGCGACGGCCAGGGATAGAGACCAGGGCAGAGCTGGATACGCTGCAGGTAACGCCGACTAGACCGCCCGAGAGGTGCGACCGCCAGGGATAGAGACCAGGGCAGAGCTGGATACGATGCGGGTAACACCGACTGGGCCGCCCGAGAGGTGCGACGGCCAGGGATAGAGACCAGGGCAGAGCTGGATACGCTGAGGGGACGCCGACTAGACCGCCCGAGAGGTGCGACCGCCAGGGACAGACCAGGGCAGAGCTGGACACGGTGCAGGTAACGCCGACTAGACCGCCCGAGAGGTACGACGGCCAGGGATAGAGACCAGGGCAGAGCTGGACACGGTGCATGTAACGCCGACTAGACCGCCGAGAGGTACGACGGCCAGGGATAGAGACCAGGGCAGAGCTGGACACGGTGCAGATAACGCCGACTAGACCGCACGAGAGGTACGACGGCCGGGGATAAAACCAGGGCAGAGCTGGACACGCTGCAGGTAACGCTGAATGGGCTGCCCGAGAGGTGCGACGGCCAGGGATAGAGACCAGGGCAGAGCTGGACACGGTGCAGATAAGCCGACTAGACCGCCCAGAGGTACGACGGCCAGGGATAAGACCAGGGCAGAGCTGGACACGGTGCAGTTAACGCCGACTAGACCGCCCGAGGTACGACGGCCAGGGATAGAGACCAGGGCAGAGCTGGACACGGTGCAGATAACGCCGACTA